AACAATAAAGTAGGAAAACCACCCCATTCACAGTAGCCTCAAAAAAAAAAAAAAACTTGGGAATCAATTTATCAAAAGATGTGAAAGATGTCTATGATGAAAACTACAAAACACAAAAGAAGAGATAGAATAAGACTTTATAAGATGGAAAGATCTCTCATGCACTTGGATAGGCAGATTTAACATTGTCAAATGGACATACTATCAAAAGTGTTGTACAGATTTAATGCATCTCCTATTAACATCACAATGACATTCTTCATAGAAACAGAAATAGTAGACATGAAATTCATTTGGAAAAATAAGAGGCCCAGAATAGTGAAAGCCATCCTTAGCAAGAAAAGTGAAACTGGATGAATCACAATATGAGACCTCAAATTATACTACAGAGCTATAGTAACAAAAAGGCACCCAAATAAACATGTAGGCCAATGGTACAGAATAGAAGATACAGAGACAAACCCACATAAATACCATCTCATTCTAGGCACAAAAACGCCAAAAACATACATTGGAGAAAAGATAGCCTTTTCAACAAATGGTGCTGGGTAAAGTGGAAATACATATGTAGCAACATGAAATTAAACCCCTATCTCTCACCTTGCACAAAACTTAACTCGAAGTAGATCAAGGACCTAGGAATTAGACAAGAAATCCTACGCCTAATAGAAGAAAAAGTAGGCCCAACTCTCGACCATATCATCTTAGGAAACAAATTCCTCAACAAGACTCTTAAAACACAAGAAATAAAATCAAGAATCATAAATGGGATGGCATCAAACTAAAAAGCTTCTTCACAGGAAAGGAAATCTAGAACATGAAGAGAGAGCCTATAGAATGGGAGAAAATCTTTGCCACCTACACCTCAGATAGAGCATTAATCTCCAGGATATACAAAGAGCTCAAAAAACTTAATACCAAAAAAAACCAAATAGTCCAATTAATAAATGGACTAAGGAACTGAGCAGATACTTCACCAAAAAAGAAAATATGACCAGTCAACAAAAATATGAAAAAATGTTCAACATCACTAGTGATTAGAGAAATGCAAATCAATCMGAGTGGCAATTATCAAGAATACAAGCAACAATAAATGTAGGCAAGAATGAGAGTGGGAAAARGTACACTGATGCATTGCTGATGGGACTGCGAATTGATACAACCACTAAGGAAAGCACTATGGCAATTCCTCAGAAAAACTGGAATGGAACCACCATTTGACCTAGTTATCCCTTTCCTCGGTTTATACCCAAAGGATTTAAAATCAGCATACTACAGTAACATAGCCACATCAATWTTTAGAGCAGTTCAATTCACCATAGCTAAACTCTGGAACCAACCTAGGTGCCCTTCAACAGATGAATGGACAAAGAAAATGTGGTACGTATACACAATGGAATATTACTCAGCCATAAAGAAGAATGAAATTATGGCATTTGCTGGTAAATGGATGTAACTGGTGACTATCATGCTAAGTGAAATAAGCCAATCCCCCCACCAAATCAAGGGCCAAATGTTTTCTCTAATATGCAGAWGCTAATTCACAATGAGGGGTAGGGGTTAGGGAAGAATAGAAGTACTTTGAATTAGACAAGGGGGAATGAAGGGAAAGGAGAGGGAATGGGAAAAGGAAAGATAGTAGAATGAATCAGATATTACTGTACTATGTGCATATATGATTACATGACCAGTGTACTTCTACATCATGTACAAATAGAAGAATGAGAAATTATATTCCTTATTTGTATAACATATCCAAATACATTCTACTATCATGTATAACTAATTAGAACATTTTTTAAAGAGAACTAACCACAGAGAACCAAATATATACTTCCAACCAATCACTTCTAATTAGCCTGCCTACAGCTTCTCTAGACCTSAATCCTTTCCTGTAACCCTACAAAGCTTTCCTACTTCTCTGCCTCTTAGCTTCTGCTAAAGTGCAAATGATGGTAGTTGATTCTTGCTATAGCAATGCTGAAGGCAGGTATTTTCATTTATTTCCACACTACTGAGAATCACCCACAGGTTCATCAAAGGGCAATTATGCTCACATATGCTAAAAAGTTAATCTTCACAACATTCTGTAAGAATTTTTTTTAAATCCCCATTTTATGGATGCAGAGAACAAAAGGTTGCAAAAATTAAATAGCGCCTCATGTTTTCCTTTTTACATCATGGTAGAGTAAGTGTTTAGTATATATTATTTTGACAAAAAGTTCAAGGTAATAGCAAAAGCATATTTAATGATAATGATATCAGCTATGATTTTAATAGGTGTTTTCTAGTATTATTTGCAATTACTTTCATCAACTTTCTGGACAAATATCAACAATGTATTTTGAATATACTCATAGCCTTAAAGTTACTACTTATCAAAACACACTTAAAATTTAGTTGATATTAGAACATATGACCAGTCAACAAAATAGAAATAGTTTTCTTGCCCAATTTTGATTACATCAACAGGTTTTTCACAGGTAATGGGTAGAAAACCTAATAAGAAAGTATGATTATTTATGATATATGATACTGACAAAAAAATAAAACGTGGGTGATTGTAAAATGAAGGTAATATTTATTTGCCTGTCACTTAACAGAAACTGTGATTTTTAGAAGTTCACTTCATAACACTAACATCAGATAGATATACTGTCTATTTCAAAGTTGAAAAAACAATAACTAAAAGCTTCTAGACTGTGGGCAATCAGGTCTACATTTAAAAACTGAATTGTTATTTAGTTTCAATCTACCAAACATGCTTAAGAAACAACTGATCAAAATTTAAGAGGTTCCTTTAGGAGATAATTTGGCCACACAACCCCAAATTGAAATAATTGTATCCTGAGTATAAAAATAACATAACTTAGAAAATTAAGAAAGGGGAATGACATTCATATAGATTAGAATTTTCCATAAAATTACATAAAGCCAGAAATTAAAAATTAGAACAATATAGATGACTACTAAGAATTTTTAGTAACTGAAAAATATAATGATATTTAAGCACAATTCCTATACTGTGAACTGAAAAAGTAAAAAGAAATTTATAGATAATTTTGTTTAAATAAAGATGCAGAGTAAGAAAAGATGATAAGGGTCAAATAAGTCCTCCTATGACTTCTAGTTTGTATTGTTAACTCCAGGTAGCTCAAACTTAATTACTAAGAATTCCTGGCTTTGAGCATTATAAACTAAAATGAACAAAAACTTAGAAATTGATAAGTATAAGAAAAAAATTTCAGGTTCTCAAGAATTTCACTTTCACAAACTGTTTCCTTAAAATGTCACTAATGTATTAAAAAGCAATGAATTTTCCATCTTAAGTTATAAAAACAAGGGAATAATTTGGTCGTTTTGCAAAGTACAGAAAGGAAAATGTGTCTCCCTGATATATCTCAAAAATGTTCCTACCTATATAGAGAGTGATTTGCATTATATACCAGTGGATCAAATGTTTAAAACTTTTACTAATCTGTTTTCCATTAGGCATGTGATATAATTTTCAGCTTGGTCTACAATAACATATATTTTATACAAAAGAAAAATTAATTGAGACTTTTTTAAATGGAGGTAGGAGGGTGAAAGGTTGAGGTACACATTTGATGAGAAAATCACTGAGGAATTTCTCAAATAAGACCACTCCCAGATTCTGGGGTTGAAGCCAAAATTAACAATCAAATCATGTAAATAAAGACATTCCAATCATTTTAAAGCCATAGAACAGTACAGTACAGGCAAATAGCTTACATAGAATTCTGCTCTTCTAATGGGTAGCTGTGTAAACTAGACAAATCACTTAACTTCTCTGTGGCAAGTTTCCTCATTTGTAAGATGGGTGTAATAAAAATTGAACCTATGGGTTGTTGTAAATGTTAAGAGGATTAACATTTATGTGTTGAGTAGTAAACAAAGGGCAAGCATTACTTTATTATTATTGCTGTCAATCTGAAAAAAGCAAAGAACTTCATTTTAGAGAATTAACGGCAAGTTAAAAATTTCTTTATGTCTATGGTCAAGAAAAATGAGATACTATTTGGTTTTACAGCTATGATAATGTTCTGAGATGGAGGAGAAGAGAATGAGTAGCTTTCTAGAAAAAAAAAAGTTAAGCATCACTTGGTTATCAGTGGAAGACACTGATTACAGAAATAAATTTACTGCTTCTCCATTCTCCATAATGGTCAATGAACACTTGATTACAGCATTTATCATGAAGTCCTCCACCTCTGTAGCTGTGTGACTCTTTAATTAGCCTGGACCCTCTTTGAAGGCAGAATTTATGTCAAAATTCTTTGACTCTCAAATGTGTACTAATGCTTCTTATGCAAAAGCACTTAATACATGTTGCATGAATGATAAATGAATTTTTAAAAATAAACAAATGAACAAACATGAATTTGATGACCCTTAGAGAAAAATTGTATTCATACAAAGAGGAAGCTATATTGAAACACATGTAAATTATTTTCAGAAGCTTCTTCCAAAACTTAAGTCTGTTTTGGAAATGATTCTGATATCCTCTAATATGAATGATTTAGATCAGAGAATTGTAGTTTTCTGTGTATTTCAATTTGACAGAAAATATTTAATGCTTCCTAAATAAGTGAGAGTTATACTAGTATTACTTCTTGACCATTGAGTCATATCATTTTTATTAACAAAACAGTGTATTTGGTAAGAATTTGTATTATTTAAATACATATATAGTTTTATAAATTTGAATTGGCTTTTAAAAAATTAAGATCCATTTTAAGTAACATGAGTAAAACTTTCCTTCTTTTGAAATTTTGAGGTATTTCAGAGTACAATTGGGATTATTCATGCTTGTCTTCCAAAATTAATTRTGCATATGGAAAGCATGGTACATCTTTGGTGGTGTTGGTATGTCTTTAGAAATCAAAATTATTTTAGCTATCTAGTTATTTTGAAATTTTAGCACTTATAATATGTTCATAGGATTTTACTTCTGAGACATGCATGTAATTGATTCTTACCCTATTTGAGTCAATTCTTGCTCTGGAAGTATAGATGGGGGGAGGGATGTTGAAAGCCTGGGGGACCAGGTATTCCTCAGCATCCATCATATCTTCCAAGTCCTCTTCATCCAAGAGATTCTGAAAGAACTTGCTGTCATTTGGACTGGGAAGCTTCATACGATCATCACCCTGAAAGAATTGCCCATCAGACACATAAAATACATGATCCTTCTTTTCATTTTAAATATGTGGTCTCTGTAGCAAATTTATGTAAGAGCCAAACAACTGTTAAAAAAAAATCCATGTATACATTTCAGGAGATTATTCTTTGGCACAACTTCAGCCATAAAGAAGCCTATAATATGTTTAGGTATGACACTATAAGATAAATAAATTTAATACAAGAAGAATGTGATGAATGACGTCAGAAAGGAATAAAACAGAATTGCTATAGATGTTTGAGAGAGGCAAAATCCACTTCAGATCTGAGGCTAAGGGTTCTTTGGCAAGATGGTAGGTGGGCTGGACTTTAAGAATCAATAGTAAAGGGCAATCGATTTATCATTCTTAATTTTATGTAGTTGGTTTGATGCTGTTCAGTTATTAGGATACAGAAGCTCTGTGATTTGTTATRTGGTATGAATGATGGCTACCTGGTCAAAGTGGTAGCATTCAAGGTCACAGCACAAATGGCGAAGAGAATCAATGGGTATGGGAGAGACACCAAAACCCTTTATATAGTGTCAAAAAACCCTTTCTTGTCACCTTCTTTCTCTCTTTTTTTTTTCAATATTGTATGTTTTTTAATAAAAAATCAGTTCATAAAGATTAATTTTGGGGAAAATAACTAGACATCATTAACTTTAAAGGGTGACTTTGATCTTAATGTAAGAATATTGATAGGGAAATAAAGGCTCCTTTGTTTTAATAAGAAAATATAATTCAGTGTATCAAAGGTCCATTTGTTTATGTTTTGGGTGAAAAAATATCATAGATAAATTAGAAATTTTTAAATCATACAATCTATTTTTCCATCCACCCTACCCAGATAATTTGCTCTTAACTAAAGATTACAAAAGTATGTTTGTTGTTAAACATAAAATGATCTTTTGGCCTATTATTTAATTCATATGTGCATGAAATCATTTGAATTGAGTTTTTTCTTGGATGCTGCATGTTTCTGCAAATATAAAAATATATTGTAAGATATTTTTCTAGGAAACTAAATGTTACTATTTGTAAATTTTTGACTCATTTTTCTCTGATTAAAACAAAAATCCATCATCCTTTGAATCTATAAAGGAAAGATTACAATAATGAACATGAGTTATACAGAATACTAATAAAAAGCAGAGTGATAGAAGGTTTTTCTGAGGATAAGACTCTTTTACATATATGGGTCATCATAATCAATTGGCTGTTCAATAGCATTCATTAGAGCACTAGGGGAAAGCTCTGAGAGATGGATCTGATATCAGGTAAAGAGTTCTTTTGTATAAGTTGTTTCACACCATAATACAATTAATGTTAGTGGTCTGGAGCACTAAAGTTGAGATTGTCATATTTTGCAGTACATTTGCCAGGGGGATATTCTTAAAAACAAAGTCAAGTGTACTAACCTGAATAACAAGATATCTTTGAGGATCTCGAGCCATCCTTGAAAATTCGGCAGCCAGCTCCTTAAATTTAGGTCTACTATCAGCGTCAATCATCCAGCCTGGAAATTTACACACAATAAAATTGTCAGCATATCCATATTTGAAAAAAGCAGTGACATTTAAATTTTGTGAAAATATAGGCTAAACTGTGAAAAATATTGTTTTAATAATAATGATCTGAAAAATGAAGGAGGCTAGTGAAAGAACTCAGTTTGTTGATACTCATCATTTACTGTCATATACTATAAAATATCAGATGAAATATTTAAAATTTTTATTTTCTTCTTAGAAAACAGAATGCAGACTAACTATGAGAAGCTATGGAAAATCAGATTTTTGTTGTTGTTTTGGGTGTGGAGATAATTTTTTGAAACTTTGATGATTATAGAAGAGGTGATTGGAATATAATTTATCATTTTGTATCAGGAATGACAAGAGAGAAAACATTTGGTGCAATACTGATCACTGAACAGAGAGAGGAAAAGGGAACTGAAAGTAACTTTTGTGCCACTTTTTCCTGGTGGGGAAAAAGAAAGAATGTAAAATATTGGTAATGTTTGTCCAGCAATAATCATTAGCTTATCTTAGTACTAACCTTTCCTGCATAAAAATACTACCAGCAGTTTCTAAGGTATACATTATTATTTATATGGGAGTCTAGATAAAATGGGTCTTATCTTTCTAGATGCTATTTAGAGGRTGATATGACAAGAATAAAAGCATCAGCTTTCCTTGATTTTTTTTTTTTTTTGTCAAATGATTCTCTTTTAAAGTATTAAAATTCCTGGGGTGGGGGGAGGTAAAATTCCCAATAGAGTTTGCTTAATAAGGTAAAAATTTTGCCTAATTTTACATCATTTCATCAGAGTATCTAAATCATCTCCTATTCTGGTTATGGGATCAAATTATATAATGCTTGCATGTTTTAATACTTTCTTCTCTGGACATTTACCAAGCCATGTTTGATTGAATAAAACTATAAAAACTGTTTCTCCTATTCTGGGGTTCAATTTTTATTCCTGTTCTGGGAATCCTTTGGGTATCGTTTTATGTATCATTGATATCACCTACTTTTTTTCTTTCTTAACAAAACTCAAACACTRTACATTTTCTATATATTCATTTTAAAGAAATGCTTATTATTACTGAGATGTTCATGAAAAAAAAATAATTATTTATGGAACTCTTAGAGCCAAAAAAGATTAACTTCACTGTAAGATATGTGGTCCTCTCTAAATATTGAGTAAATAGAACTGTGCTTAGAAAAAAGGGCATGCTGACCTGAACTGTAAAGAACAGTTTTTATTTCTTGCCTCACTGTCAGAATGCATCATGCATGTCATGAATATAAATTTGAGTAGACCTGGGTCCAAAGTCTCTTATTAATAAGGTGCTTATTCACCTTCACCAGTTGGTTCCTTTGCTAACACTGTGTATTTCAAAGGGGGAAAACCCCAGATTATGCAAGAGAGACTATTCCTGTTAATCTCACTTAAATTAAGTCTGGAACTCCAGAGACTTCCCTAATTCTATTTAAATTAAGGGCCTAGACTTCCAGAACACATTTATAATACATATGTGTCTGGGGCATAGTAAGGGGAAAGAAAAGTAAGAGTTTGATGTAAACAGATGATCAAGTTGATAAAAATAAACATTCCTAATCATTTTAGCTGAATGTAGAGACATTTCTTCTACTTCCCACCCTACTTGGATAATTTGCTCTGACTAAAAAAACTGACAAACCTATTTCGATTTAATTCATTTTTTAAACTATCAGTTTCAAACTTTCTTTGTTTAGATCATTAATTTTAGTTTGACATACTCCCTTAAAGATCACTAACATTAATGTTACCACTAACAACGTTGTAACTAATTATATTTTTTTATGGTAGGTAGTTCTGAAAATTATAAGATTTAAGAATACTTAGAGTCCTCTAACTTTGACTTCACAGTAGGGAAGCATAATATTACTGTATATTAATAATTACAGCAAACAGGTGTTTACATGCTCCATCAGTGATTTTTCAACTGTTCTGTTCTCCAATACAGAGAAACATTATACTCTAGTATACTCTCTACTATTATTTTATTAAGAACAGTGATAATGACTATAAAATTATTTCACACTCTTACATTTGACCATGACCATGTAAACGTCAATGGTGCAGATGGGAGGTTGAGGCAAACGTTCTCCTTTCTCTAATAAATCAGGAATTTCTCGAGTTGGAATTCCATCATAGGGTTTCCCTCCAAAGGTCATCAGTTCCCATATAGTGACTCCTAAATTGGAGATAAAATTCTTCCATAAGCATACTGACAACATAATTCAAACAAACAAGCAATATGTCAAGTGGCAAAAGAATGCTCCCTAAAGGTCAATCCAAAGAAAGTTAAAGAAGGTTCTTCAGATTCCTGCATTTACTAAGTGCTAAAATCTTTGTGGGAGAATTTGATTCTCTTATTATTGTTTCGGAATTTTTAATGTTAATGCCTAGTAGAGGTGATTTAGAGTTGATGTCAGAATGTAGAATCTATTCCCATTTCTACTGATAAATAATGCTCATGTTTGCTGACCCAAGTTATGTTACAGCTCAGAATACAATTTATTTATTGTATAAATATGTGTTCAGCTCATCAAATAAAAATGATTTCAGGAAAAATTGAAATTGATTTTTAAATCTCAAAATTTAGCCCTTTTCTATAAAAGCCTTAACAGTTAGTTAAGCAAAGATTTTAGAATAATTTTCTTATGCCACAGTAAAGAACTGTGGCTCACCTTTTCACTAACAAAGAAAAAAAGTAGAATAAAGCATATTAAGTCATTTATCACATGAGAACCAAAATGCAGGGATCAATTCATATGTAAGATATAATACATAAAAAATAGGCATCCCAAAAATGGAAAGTAATCAAGAATAGTTTATTCTTTGAATAATGAAATTACTTTCTTGAGTCACTATAGACACTGATTCCTCTGGAAAAAATATACTAAAAGCATTCAAACAACTTGTTTTGATAACAATAGTAATTCTGATACAGGCAATAATATGTATACTAAAGAACTCTTTCTTATGATATAATAAGCAACCACATACTTAAAGTTACATTTTTCTTAGGGATAAAGATTTTTAAATTGTAAATAGGTGGGCACAATAATATTACAACCTGAGTTTGATTGATGCGTACAGACAGATACATTTTAAAAATCCATTAGGTAAGGCTATGTTTTCTTCTCTGCTGCCAACTGGAATGAATGGTTGTACATTTCTAGTTAGTCATACTCATATAATATGCATTTAATGATTACATTTTATTAACTCAGGTAGRCAGTTATAAAAGTCAGAATAGATACTCTCACATCTCTATCAGAACTTACAACAAAAGCAAACTGCACAGCAATTACAAATAAAAATATATAATTGACAGAAGCAAATATACAAACATAAAAGCTGAAACTCAAACCCCTACTTATAAGAACAATCCAATCCTTTCTTKGTAGAGTGATGACAAAATAAGTGTTAAATAAGGATGGCTTCATGGAAAAGGATAATCTCAGAAAAATTCAATCAGAAACAGCTTAAAAACATATACTGCAGCTCCATCACCTGAAGATATATATATATCATCATAGCTGATGCACATTTTTATAAATATAAAGATGCAGCCAGTGATAATTTCCCATAAAGGAGTAYTATAAACAAGATTATGTAGCTTTCTCTGCCTTTTATGCCTTTTGCAATCACTTATGATATATCATAAGAATCTTAAAGTGCCTAATGAATATGTATTGATGACCTGAGCTGTGTTTCATAACAGAATACTGTATCTCCACTTCTTCATTTTTACTAAACAACGTGAGATTTTTAGAAACATAACATGCAGAAAACTAGTACAGCCCAAGTAACAGGATTTTCTTCAAAGACACACTTTATTATTAAAATTATGACAGTTCTGCCAACATTTTTTGTTGGCTTATTTTAATATCATTTAAAATTTGCCTCCAGCAAATTATCACATCTAATTCATGGAAAATAAAGTACAAAAAGAAAAGAAATAGAAAGAAAAAAGCCTATGTGTATATTATACTAATATACATAAGAATATACATAAATCTTCTGTGATACATAATTTATAAATCTATCCAGATCATGTATTTATGCTATCATGTAATACATAAATAATAATCTGTATGCTAATCTGCATTATATAAAATGTCTATCATATATGTGATAGATTTGCTTTTCTATCTATCACTTGCAGTTAAGTAGCACATCTACTAAGTTTTGCCAGGCTTTTCTTTATATTTGCCTAAACTTCAAACACACATTTATACTTCTAAGAAAMGTAGAATATGTGCAGTCTTTTTGAAATTTACATACTTCCTATGGCATACACAGGGGAGACACATTTTATTGAACTGTCTTAAGTAGTTTTTTAGGAATAATGAATTTCTTTTCTACAGAAGAGTTGTGAGTTCTTTAGTAATTAAATGGTCTAAATATTTTATTTTTAATGAAAACTTAAAAGTAAGCTTAAATTTGAGTAAAACAAATTGTACCAGATCTTTAAATCCCACCATTACACTTTTCATTTAAAAAGGCATTTTGGTGCTTTTTATTTTAAATAAATGCTATTTTTATGTCATATTCAAACTCAGAAAAGTCCTTAACTCTTGCTAAGTGGTAAGCAGACCAAGTTGTAAGGAGCCAGATAGATGCTGAAGAGCTCATCATAACCACTGAGTTAAACACAATGAAAGAAATGTTCTAATTATAAATATCAATCTTTACAAATTCATATTATTCACTCTATAATGTTTCTATTACTCCAAAAGTTGTTTGTAAATTAAAACTGAAGTTGCAATTAGAAGTCTTCTCTCTTACCTCTGTTTTCAGTAATTGTTAATTGTTATGACCATAATCTCTAAATTTTCTACCATAGAACAGAAATTCCCATAGCAAAAAGGAAAACAAAAAGCTGTCATTCTKTTTATTTTGTCCTTCAACATTCTTTGCATTCAGAATTATATTTTCAAAGAATTGTTGAAAATTAACACCATGAGATTCTGTGAAATTATCCCTAAACTAAAATTGGCCAAGTTTTGTTTTTGTGTTTGTTTTCAGTAAAAATGATCAGACAGTTGCTACCAAACCAGAGCTGATGGCAGAGATATCTACATTTTCCATTTTAGAAGACCATGTAATTAAAAAATAAAAAAATAAAAAGTACTCTCTTTACCGTATTGTTCTTTTGCATTTTTAAATAAGTTAACTTCTTTAGGAAATGAGGCCTATAAATAGATAGTTTTAACACAATAAAATACTTTGACTTAGGATATTTTACATGAACTGAATGTATTTATTTTTGGCTTAAAAACCTTAATTCATAAGGAAGATTTATTTACCATAGCTCCAAACATCACTCTGGTGGGTGAATTTTCTATAATGTATACACTCCAGTGCCATCCATTTAATTGGCATCTGTAAAGAAATAAGAAGTGAAAGTTTTATATAAAAATGCAATTTATATACATACTAAATCTGAAGCTCTGAACTTGATCAATTATATTCTTTGTGTGTTTATAGATATAAATTTTAATACGTTATTTTTCAAGATAGTGAGAAAAATGGATTGAAATTTACAAAGTGAATTAATTCAAAGATTCTGTGAAATTGTCCCTAAAGTATTGTATTTATTTTTTTAAAGAAAGCTTCATATACAGGTTTAAATATGAGGTAGCCCCCAAAAGCTCATGTGTCAGTCAATGCAAAAGTGTTTAGAGATGAAATAATTGGGTTATAAAAGCCTTAACATAATCAGTGTGTTAATCTACTGATTTAGGCAATAAATCAAGGATTAATTGGATGGTAACTGAAGGCTGGTAGAGTGTGGCTAGGGAGAGTGGGTCCCTAGGGCATGTCTTTGTGGTTTATATTTTGTCCCTGTTGAGCAGAGTGCGTGGTCTCTGTTTGTCTGTCTGTCTGTCTGTCTCTCTCTCTTCCTCTCTTCCTCTCTTCCTCTCGTCCTCCTTCCTGGTGCCATGTTCCCAGGTGCTTTCCTCTACCACATGCATCCACCATGATTTTCTGCCTCATGTCAGGCCCCAAGAAATGGAGTCAGTCACCTATGAATTGAGACCTCTGTAACTACAAGGCCCCAACTAAACTTTTCCTCCTTAAAATTGTTCTTGTTAGATCTTTGGTCACAGCAATGAACAAAGCTGACTGAAACATATAATAAAAAAGTAAAATAATAAAATAGGGACAACTTTCTTATTAGTTATGAGTTAAAGTTAAAATAAGTTTCTTACTTTACTAGTTATAAATTCATATTATGACCCACATACCAAATCCAACCTCTAATATGTGTGCCTCTTAAAAATGTGTCCATGTTATATTTTTTCTTAAAAAATGGGATGTCTTACATTTTCAATTATTCCTTTTCACTCCAGACATAATTTGAGCTAGGAATACAGTAAATCCTTTCTACACTTACCTCTTCCTCTCTTATGTAAGTCGGTCACTAAATTGTTTAAAATCATGAATTTCAAAGTTAGCTTTGCTTTGTTCCCCAGCAAATGACCTCCCTTGTCTGGGTTAGCCAGTACTGAAAATCTGTACCGTTTCAAAACAGGAACTCGTATATTAAAAAAAAAAACAAAAAAGTGAGAGGATCAGCACAAATCCATCATCACTACAAGAAAAACAACTCAACCCACATACTCTGCTGTTGATGGGTCAGCAGAATGCATTTCAACCTGAAGGGCAGCATTATATGTCTGGGAATATAATTAGATTCTATGGAATAAAGACAAACACTTCTACTTCGCAGTTGAAAGCTTAAAACTAAATAGGCCTTTGAAATCATGAGGTTGGCTGCTCACCAAGGTGACATCAAGGTAACTCCATGACAGAATCATGGTATTCAGTGAAAGGGAACAGGAGACACATTGAAAATGATTTCCCTATGGGCAAGGAGTTAACTGAGTTTATGGACTACAGACATTGTGTTAAGGAAGTAAGTTTAAATCACAGGTGGCTTGATAAAGACTTAATGGTTACCAGGCATTTAAAGCTGTAATGAATCTTGCTTTAGACAAATCTTACAGCTGTATGTTCTTAAGACAAGTGAAGTCATGTGATTTATAGACTTTTTCTCCTGTGCAATCTTGTAGTGAACTTCAAAGCTGAGGTCCCAAACTACTGCAATTTGGTAGTGAAAAGTCAAAATATGTTCTTAAAAATCAAAGAAAGCCAGATAAACCTCAAAACGGAAGATTTTTTTTTTTTTTTTTTTTTGCTATTTCACCTTTTGATAAGATTTGAATGTAGCAGGCATATAAGCATTTAGGGTAAAAAAAAATCAACGGTTAAGCACTTGGAAGCCTATCATTGCAAAATATTTATATATATATATATATATATATATATATATATATATATATATATATATATTTGACCCAGAGCAGGAATAAGGACAAGTGATAGAACTGGGTTATAATCTCCTAAACCTCAGGCTAACTGGTTTCTTCCTAAAAAAATAAATAAATAAAAGAAGATAAAATGATACCATACTGTATTTTCAATCAATATTGTTTTCAAAAAGATACCTACCTTTCCTCCATCCGCATTATACTCTTTTTCATCTCCTTCCAAGAGTCTGGCTAGTCCAAAATCTGTGATTTTCACATGGTTTGGAGATTTCACTAACACATTTCGAGCTGCCAAGTCCCGATGAACAAGCCGTCTTTCTTCTAGGTACATCATTCCCTGAAAAACATCAAAATTCACTAAGATGGTTAGTTAATGCCCAGCTTTTTCCATATTCTAAGAAGGARTCTCTTAGCATTTAATTGAAAGTGTTTCTTTTTGTTTTTTAAGTGAAACTAGTATTCTGAAATATTTTCACAATTAAAGAAAACTTTGGGRAGCGGAGCAGCTATCTTTTTGCCTTTCCTCCTAAAGTCGTCTAAAGTAAACTGAATCGCCTGACTATGAACTGAATGTCAGATTGTTCTCCTCAGAGACCAGATACCCGTTTGAAATCCCTTCATTTTTGAGGTGTGTAGGTGTCTTAGCAGGTCAGCTCACATATACTTGTACTGACCTACATATTCCTCACCATTTTTTATCCATAGCTTCAGCTTAATGTCATTTTGCCTTGCACACTCTCTCAAAATAAATACATCTCAATAATTTTTAAAAATATTTCATTTGGGCCTTAATGGTTCCAGAATCTCCATCACAGATTCTATTAAGACTGAAGAAGGATATTATTCTTATTATGTATGCACAGGATGAAGTATACCCTTGGGATCTTGAAAGTATATAATTTTTTAAAAAGCTTCTGTGACATTAGTTGTTATTATAAGAACCCACAGGTTAAATTACACAGCTCATAAAGAATCACAATTAGACTTTAACATGTTATCTTCAAAACCTTAGAAAGAAATCAAAAATAAAATCCATTGCTGATTGCTAACAAGATATAATAGCTGACTCCCCCATACATACATACACATGTTATTTATATAAAATATATATTAATATCTATGTGAATTCATAAAAGTAGTGATCCATACTAGTAATAATTAGTTTATTAATTGTACCTCAGTGGTGGGGAGACTTAGAGCTATTAAACACTACTCTTAATTAAAAATTTCATGTAAAAGCAAGACATTCAACTCAGGGGCATAACTTAGATTAGAGTGAATGTACTTTTATTAAAGTATTAAGGAAAATTCTATAGTCAACAATTTCATTGTCAAAAAAAGTCATCATTCACAAATAGATCAGAATTATACAGTGGTTGCAGCATACTCTCATGCCAATTGCAAATCAATGCTGTTGGCGGTTAACATTACAACTGCAGGACTTTGAAGGATTAATGGTTTCTGATACCAAAACAAAAGCTGTGGAAAACAGACACATAAATCACATAGGTCAAAAAATTATGAACTGTATACCTGATGCAGTGTAAAGAGAAGATTGCTTCAAACAGCATCATGGACCAAACTCTAAATAAATGCCCATTAAATACAACTGGTGGAGATGGAGATGCCACCTGCTATGGGCCAATCAGTCAACAGTTAGGTGACATCATATGTATTAGTGTTTTCTGAAATCAACCCACAAATGATATTTATGGAATTTTTGCCCTCTTTCCTACATAGTACTTTCTCTTTGAGTATACCCCATTGAAATTTCCTAAAATAAGGTGAATCTGAGCATGTATAACCCTTATATGACTCAGAATCAAAAATAAATAAATCTATCACTTTGGAGATAGAGTATTTTTATGTCTCCCTAAATTATTTGTCCCTTTAAGAAATGTCCACAAAGCATCCATCATTCTGTTTCTTAACACCTGCACATCAGAATATAGAAAGTGTGTTGGCCACAAGTTAAGCTAGGTCCATACATGTCTTAACACATACAATGTTCCCCAATACTGCAAGACTCTGGGGAGACAACAGGGAGTCAGGTAAGGCGTATGCATTAAAGGAAGACAGATGCTAATTAATGAAATGGGAAGATATGGAATAAAAACTCAAATGAATTGCCGTGATACGTGCAAGGCATTTAAGGACAGCTGTATTCTGAGAATTTTTTTTAGTATTGCTTAGCAAGTGTGCTTTCGAGGAAAGGTTCCCACACCTAAGTAAGGTTTAGAGAACAAAACTGCAGGCAGAAAGAACAAGCATGGACCTCAGTAAGCTGTGTACTTGGATAAAGCTATATAATTCTGTATTTCTGGGTCACAGTACATGAGAGAGGGGTAGAGATAAGCAGTGAGATGGAAAAGATACAAACAGGCCAGATCCAAGAAGGGCCCCTTACACGTCAAGGGAGAGAACTTTGAGTTTTGTTTTATACAGTAGACATCTCAGTAATGAGAAAGCTGTTATAAAACGGGAGTGATCCAATTTGCACTAGAATCTTGAAAACATTCCTCTGATGCCAGAACCAGAGGATGGATTAGCCACAAATGTAGCCACAGTACAGAAGAAAACTGACAATGATGTAAAGTTCAAACGGTTTGAAAGCTGGCAGTCCATGAGTTACATCCACTTTCAGACTTTTTAAACTGAGTCTCCGCACAGGGCAGGGAGTCACTCACTCTCTCTAGCTGAGCACCATTTAGGACATCTGATATCTAGTTTGCCAGGATCTTAGCAATTACTTTTCAGGAAGTTTGCTCGTATCATTTATGATACTCTGGCTCATAATGAGTATGAGTCTTCTAAACTAGGCTAGAAGGAATACTACAGAGAGGATAATTCCAAGGTGTATTTGCAAAATAAAATGATCATCCTTGGTAACTAATTGAAAAATGAAGGACAAGTAAACTGAGAATAATTTTTTTTAGACTTTGTAATTTAGGTGGGTAATGATTCCTTGAACTAAATAGCATTGTAATAGAAAAGCAATTTGTTTCTTAAACATGTACAAGAATAGTAATATATATTTTACCAACAGAGAACTAACATTCTGCAAGAAACGTAAGATACTACAATGGTATGAATGTTAGTGCCCCTTCCAAATTCATCTGTTGAAATCCTACCCTAAAATGATAAGGATTTTGAGAGCCCTTAAGAATGGTATGAATGACCTCAGAGAGATCCTTAGCTTTTTCAGTCCTATAAGCAATCAGGAAGAGGGTCCACACCAGACACCAAATTGGTGGGCAACTTGACCTTGGACTTGCTAGCCTCCAGCATTATAAAAAAAAAAAAATCTGTTGTTTTTAAGTTACTCAGTTTTGTATTTTTTCATAGTGGCCCAAACAAAGATACTGTAATGACATTCCACAATACAAACAAAATTTCCAAAATTCTAATAGTTCTTTGGTATTCCATATGCAAAACTTCAGTAGGTGATACACTATCTTTAACCTTCATACCATTTGTCCAGAAAAAGTAATTTCTTCATAATAACAAGAATTCAATCCAATTACCGGTCTATATAATTTTCTTCACCAACCTGGTCATCATTAATAGCAATTTAAAAAAAGAAAACAGAACTGCATATCATTACCAAACCATCTAAAAAGGTTTGAACAGTTGCTTTGTAACTAAAAAATATCATTGTGCAGAGACATACTTTCAAATCTTTAATATGACTGCCACTTTTGGCCCACTTTAACACCTAGAATTAGAAGGTTGAATAGTCTTTGGATTTTTCTTAAAAGGTTACTTCACAAAACAAGTCATTAAGACAAAATTTTCTTACTGAAAGATCTCATTAAGGTCACATTTTCTGCTAGATTCTTTCAAAATGAAATCCCTCTTAAGATTAAAAGTGTGATGCACTAAGGAGGCAGACAGTTGCTTGAAGAAGAAATAATAAATATAAACTGAATGAAGTCCCTGGAAGTTTGAGGAATAATCACAAAAAACCATTCATTATGGTAGAGAGATGTTGTACTAGTAGGAAGAGAAATCTTCTCTACCCCAGAGCAGCTCCCATGACCAAGCCAGGCCAGGTAGGGTACCTGCCTATATACCACAGCTAACATTGACCAGAATTTGGGACACAGCCGGCACCAACAGAATGCTTCTACTTTGGTTAGTTAAAATAATCCTATGAAATACACACTATTTTCAATCTCATTATAAATATGAGACTAATAAAGGCAATTTTACTTGTTCCAACTCATGGAGCTAATGAGTGTTAGAAGTGGGATTTGATCCCTTGCTGTGGGACTCTGGAGCCTACACATTTAAGTCTATCCCCCCTTAAACACTTCAGAGGGACATGTGGGCATGGAGAAATTAATGTGTATAGTTACATTCTGTGACTTTGAAAGATCCTTATTTTTTTTCTAAGAAAAAACAATACCGTAAGAGATTTCAATAAATTTTAGCACATAATGCAGTTGATTAATTTATAAAAAAATTTATACTTAAAATCCAGTTAAATTGCAGAGCTGTTTGTAATTTAGCAGGAATTTTAATTATGTAAGTTMAAGACTCCATTCTTACTTTGATCCCAGAGTATGCAGAAGGTCCAGTGGGGATGGGTGTAGAATCTGGAGTCAATCACCTGGTTCAATCCCCAGCTTGGCCATCTTCTAGATGTGTGACTCTGAACAAGTTATTTTAACCTTTCTGTGAACAGCACCTGTCCCACAGGTTGTTGTGAGGATTAAATAGTATACTCAAAGCACTTACATAGTAACTTGGTATGTAGTAGGTATAGAACATGCAAGCTTTTAGTATTGCTTCAAAGATAAATATCAACAGTCCTAGAATGGACAAGAATTACCCTCATTAACTTGGACTGCCTATTTTTTTTTTTAAAAAATCAAACCTCAGCTCATATATCACAGTGGGTGTCCAATAAATGTTTGCAAATGGGGATATATATACCCATAACCTACCAACTATAATTAATTCATGGATACAAATTTCAGAATTATTACTATTTGAAATCTCATTTTAATAATGATACACCTGAGAAATCTGCCATATAAGGAGAAAGAACAATTAGGGAGTATATTAAGGGATTTGACACTCTCCATAAATACATCAAAGATTTCAGGAACTTACTGAAGATAAAAGTCACGAGCAAGATAGATCTAAAAGTCTTCAATGCTTCAGAATGTTTTCTATGAGTTAATAAAATAGTACATTTGCCATAACAGAGTCTGCTATTTATCACACAGCATGGAAGAGGGTTTTTGGTAAATGTTTTAGAGGCARTTTTACCCATTTCATGATCCAAGTGCTGTAAGTCTGATTTTATCCAATATTCACAATTTACAATTA